GAGGGTGAAGTAATTACAAACGTAACATTTAATGGATTCAAAGTAAAAGAAAATAAGTGTGATTTTTTCATGAAGGAAATTAAATACCTTGGCCATATCATAGATCAAGAAGGTAGACGACCAGACCCTGAAAGGTCTACAGCAATAAAAAAGATGCCAGTTCCTAAGAATATAACAGAACTACAAAGTTTTTTTGGATTAGTGAATTACTACCAAGAATTCATACCTCAAATGCATAAACTTCGCACACCACTGAATGAACTGCTAAAGAAAGAAAAAGTTTGGCAGTGGACAGATCAATGCCAGGAAACATTTGAAAAAACAATCAAAACATTAACATTGGATTTATTTGCGGCACACTATGATCCTAAACTAGAAATTATTGTAGCAAGTGACGCGAGCGTCTACGGAGTTGGAGCGTGTATATTACATAAAATGCCAGATGGGACAATAAAACCTCTCGCACATGCTTCTCGAACCCTACTACCAGCGGAGAAAAACTGTTCACAAATAGAGAAGGAAGCTCTAGCAATCATCTTCGCAGTAACAAGATTCCATAGGTACGTCTATGGTAGACATTTTACTCTGCAGACGGATCACAAACCGTTAATAAAAATTTTTGGTTCAAAATAGGTCTACCGGTTTACACTGCAAATAGGCTACTTAGATGGGGAACGATTCTTCTGAACTACAATTTCAGATTGGAATATTTGCCAACGAAAAGAATCGGGCACGCGGATGGCCTGTCGAGACTTATACCAACAAAGACAGAGCCATTGGAAGATACGGTAATCGCAGCCCTTAGAAATGAAGAAGACATAAGGACAGTACTATGTTGTACAGTCAGAAACCTCCCAGTCGCATTGCAAGACATAAAAAATGAAGCCAAAAATGACGACTTTATTAATGAAACAAAAGCAAAAATAGCAGAAAAAAATGAGCAAATTTCGGGCAGCTTTTCTCTATGCGATAATGTGCTACTTTACAACGAAAGGGTTGTAATTCCCTAAATATTACAAAAGCGGATTCTGAAGGATTTCCACAGGGGACACCCGGGTAAAAATAGAATTAAGTCGCTAATGCAAAGCTATGTATATTGGAAGAATATGGACCAGGATATTACTCAGATGATGGAAATGTGTAAGGGTTGTAATTTAGCAGCCCAAGCACCGCCAGTCATACATAAGCCTTGGCCAGAGACTAATCGTCCATGGTCAAGAATACACAGAGTATGCAGGACCAATTGACGGGTTCTACTATTTAATCATAGTTGATAGCTACAGTAAATGGCCGGAGGTGTTTCGTTGCAAAAATCCTACTACATAAACGATCATAAATTTCCTCCACGAGCTATTCGCTCGGTTTGGTGTAGTGGAAAGCTTAGTAACAGATAATGGAACGCAATTCACGTCAGCAGACTTCCAAGAGTTTTGCGAAATTTATCAAGTAAAAGATATAAAATCCCCACCTTACCACCCAACATCAAATGGACAAACGGAGAGATTTGTGGATACTCTCAAAAGAGCGTTACGAAAAGCGTACGATGTGCTTACAGAGAAAACATTACAGCAATTTCTACAGGTATATAGAATAACGCCAAACAATGCGACACCATCAAAATTATCACCAGCAGAAGTCATGTTTGCTAGGAAAATCAGATCAGCGTTCGATAAATTACTACCAAGTAAAACAAAACAAGTAACACAGTCCTACGCACCAAAAAGAAAATTCCTCCCAGGAGAAAAAAGTTTTTTTTAAGGCATATAAAAATAATACCTCTTACTGGGAGCAAGGCATAATTGAGAAAAGAATTGGTAATATGATGTTCATAGTACAAGGGAAAAAATTCTCACACAGAAGACACGTAAACCAAATAAGGAAGAGACCATTACAGGATGCTAACAGTCCACCTCAAGAAGAGGTATTGGACAAGATTTTCGACACATTCGATATTCGAGTTATCATAATATATATGATATATGTTATATATGTCATATATTATATATATATATATAAGATTATGTCATATATAATATATATATATATATATATATATATAAGATTATATCATATATCATATATATAAGATTATGTCATATATATATATATATATATATATAAGATTATATCATATATAATATATATAAGATTATGTCATATATATATATATATAAGATTATATCATATATAATATATATAAGATTATGTCATATATATATATATATATATATATATATATATAGATTATATCATATATAATATATATAAGATTATGTCATATATATATGTATACGATATATGTCATATATAAGATATATATATGTGGTGTTAATCCATTGTACCAGTCCAAGGTGCTCCTTAATTAGTTTGTTGACTCTTTCGAATATATCTTTTACTAATTTTACCAATTTCCGGCCTCGTGGGGTTGATGATCCAGTTTATGGTCCTTGATGGTTACATAAGATTCCTTTGTACAAAGTTTGCTAATCTTGTCACTAATTTTAAATTTATATCCATGACAACCTAGTTGAGGTGTCTCTGAAAATGATTTTTACATTTGTGAAAAGAGATAGTGTTAACTATTTCCAATAAATCATTTTCAAAACCAGGTAACCTTTCAGTGAATGGCACAGCTTTTAAGCTTTTAAAACCATACACTTCTGGTTCTTTGAAAAAATTATAATTATGAAGGAAGAAATAAGCCTCCCATATCGTTCTTCTAATTAAACCCTCTATTTTATGAAGCAGTTTAATGAAATAATCCTATTTGTTTGTGTTGGGAATGTTCTTTCGAGAGATTATTGGAATTTGTTTTATCCATATTGTATAAAATAAAGGTAGAAAGTGCCCTACTGTGATGGAAGTAAAATATTTTAAGAAATAGAAAGAACAGATGGAGTTAGAATCCACAGTTCTTAGCATTTACTTTTTGAAAAGTGCTCAATACATACGTAGAGCAAAATATAATATTAAAATATTTTTATTATAATAAATTATAATAAAAATTTTACATTGCTCCACAAAAACTTTCATGTTTTGGAATTTTAATGGTTTTTCATCGGGTGATGGTAGATAACATAACACAAATGATTTATTTGGGAAATTTGAAAACAAATTGTTACCTCTTTGAAAGTTAAAATGTGTGGGGGAAACCTAATGTCAGAAATAAAACATATACTTGTGGGTATGTCTGGATTAACCAATTAAAAGTGAGATCACAATGGATAAAAAATAAATAGATAAAAAGTAATGGCTAAAAAATAAATGGATAAAAAAAATAATTCAGGTGACTAATCTGACATTGCAATAGGATCGTTAGACACTGCTGAGTCTTCTGACCTCGTTGGTTTATTCATTTTATATAACCTTACTGCTCATTATGACATTAACATGGCGGATATAGGGTTAAATGATTGATGATGGCCTTATGGTGGTAAAAAATTGTACAAATTTCAAAACTGACATAATCAGAAAATTAATCCATAGGGAGTTTCAAAATCTAAACCTGAAAGTTAAAATCAACACATACCTAAAAAAAGTAAACTTCCTCGATGTAACACTAGATTTAGTCAATAATATATACCAACCATACATAAAAACTAATGCAAATCCCTCCATCTATAATCAAGCACATACCCTCCTCCTTAAAATATAGAATTAATTATAGAATTAATTAATAACTTCCAATGAAAATGTATTTAATAAACATAGCTATTTTTACAACAATACCTTAAAAAATAGTGGCTATAAATGCCCTGACATTAAATACAGAAAACATATTAGTGATAGCAGGAAAAAAATAGAAAAATAATTTGGTATACACCCCCATACAACTAAATGGTTAGCATTAAGTTAGGGCAGAAGTTTCTCATTTTAATTGATAAACACTTCCCCAGTAATAATCCTCTAAGCAAGATTTTTTACAGAAATACACTGAAATTAAGTTACAGTTGTACAGATAATCTAGAAAAAATTATTAAAAAATATAATAATAAAATTTTAAATCTACACTTAAACCAAAGTAGCAATCATTATTCCAAAATAGAAAACAATAATGATAAAAAAATTGTATAATTGTAGAAATCCTAATGAATGTCCATTAGAGAATATCTGTTTTACTGAATCTATTTTTTTACCAATGTACCATTTCATCTAATGAAAATCCAACAGTTAAGAAATTTTGTATTGGCAGTACAAAAAATCCCTTTAAACTGAGGTGGTATTAGCACATATCTTCTTTTAACAACAATGCCTACCATAACCAAACATCCCTTTCTAAATATTTCAGATCTCATTGGACAGCTACCGCCCACTTCAAGCTAAGCAGACCCCTGTACTGCCACAGTCTGCCTTCGTCATTGGGTGCATGGAGATTAGAAGACATCTGACAAGCAGACTGCAACCTTCACACAGGGCAACAACAAGAATTTACAAAAGAAATCAGCTCTGAAACTGAGCTGTTAGATGGCCTGGTCTATGCTGGCCAGTCTCTCTGAAGACCCCCAGGACATCAGAAACTCCAGAAAAACTTCTGTCATCAATGACATACTCAAATGGTTTTGCTAAGCTCTGTCCAGTACTTGTTCGCACAGCATCTGGCAGCTCAGATGATATGCAGGTTTCTCTTGCTAGGTGACCACTTGTATTCTCAAACCAATCATATGACTTTGAGGTATTTCTCCCAAAGGTGGCCATGGCAGTGCAGTGCATGGTGTCTTGCAAGGTTGCCCACTTCTCCATGGCAGAGACTCCAGTCAGCGAGGTTGCCCACTCATTCTTAAACCTCTTGAAAAACTGTTGAACAAGGTTTGGCTGGCTTATCCTGCTGACATCAATTCATAGATTCCCTCCTTCTTGCTGTGGTGAAACCTCTTGGGCTGGGGCATGATCTTGCAGCACACCAAGGAGTGATCTGTATCGCAGTTCGTGTTGTGGTAAGAATGTGTGTGAAGGACGTTCTTAATGGCAGCTCGTCTGACCAGTATGAGATTCAGCTGGTGTCAGTGCTTTGAGCATGGATGTCTCCCGGAGACCTTGTGCTGGGACTTGGTCTTGAAGAATGAGTTGACTATGCACAAGTTGTGGTAAGTGCATAACTTGAGCAGTCTCTGGCCATTGTTGTTCATCTTGCCAACGCCAAACTGTCCAAGGCACAAAGGCCAAGAGTCATGACCAGCACCCACTCTGGTGTTAAAGTCACCCAGGAAAACAAGTTGTTCCTTTCTTGGGATACTGCTGATGGTGGTTGCCAGTTTGTTGTAAAAATTGTCCTTGGTGTCCGGTGTGGCAGAGAGTGTTGGCGCATACACGCTGATGAGGGTGACAGGGCCTGTGATGGTGCTGAGGTGGAGAATAAGGAGTCTCTCAGAGCCATTGCAGCCTTGTTCTAATGTATTCAGCAGGCTGTTCCTCACTGCGAAGCCCACTCTGTGTTGGTGTGGTTCATTGGAGCTCTTCCCCTGGCAGTGACAGGATCCCACCTGACCTGATCGGGCACTGTAAGACTGCCCTACTGCTCCCATTGCACAAGGTCCTCTACCAGTGCTGGAAAGAAGGGGCCGTACCTCAGGACATGAGAGATGCCAAGATCATCACCCTCTACAAGAACAAGGCTCAGTGAAATGACTGCAACAACTACGGAGGCGTCTTGCTACTCAGCATTGTAGGCAAAGTCTTCACTCACTCGGGTCATCTTGGTCTGCCTGCAGAAAATCACCAAACATGTCTACTCAGAGTTGCAGTGTGGTTTCCAAGCTGAAAGATTAATGGTAGACATAATCTTCTCCTTCCACCAGCTCCAGGAGAAGTGCAGAGAACAGCAGATGCCTCTGTACGTCACTTTCATTGATCTCACCAAGACGTTCGATCTTGTCAGCAGAGAAGGCTTCTTCAGAATCCTGCCCAAGATTGGCTGCCAATCCAAGCTGCAGAGATTGATTGAGTCATTCCACAGTGACATGCGAGGGACTGTGCAGTTCAATGGCATGACCTCTGAGTCCTTTAACATCTGCAATCGGTCAAACAGGGCTGAATCCTCACCCCCACTCTCTTTGGGAGTTTCTTATCGTTGCTTCTGAAGCATGCATTCAGCACATCAAGGGAAGGGATATACTTGTGTATGAGATAAGATGGTGGGTTATTCAATCTCACCCACCTCAGAACCAGGACCAAAGTACATGAAGCCCTTGTCAGAGACATGCTTTTTGCCGATGATGCGGCAGTATTGACTCACACCCAGTGTGAACTTCTGTCACTGACGAACCATTTCTCCCAGGCCTGCAGAGACTTCAGGCTGACCATCAGCTTGAAAAAAACAAACATACTGGGACAAGGTACCAAAACACCATCAGCCATCACCATTGGTGACTATAAGCTTGATGTGATCCATCAGTTCATGTACCTTGGCTCCACCATCACTGACAACCTCTCCTTAGACCCAGAGATTGACAAGAGGATCAAAAAGGCAGCCATAACACATGCACACCTCACAAAACATGTGTGGACCAATCCCAAGCTGTTGGGGAAGACTAAGATGGCAGTGTAGAATGCCTGCATTATCACCACACTGCTGTATGACAGTGAGGCTTGAACCACATATGCTAGGCAAGAAAGGCATCTGAACACCTTTCACATGAGAAGCATCCACCACATCCTTGGAGTAACATGGCAAGATAAGGTGCTCAACACTTAGGTCCTGTCTTGAGCAGGTTTGTCCAGCATGTTCATACTGCTCAGACAGTGCAGACTCTGTTGGTTGGGTTATGTCCATCACATGCCAAACGGTTGCATTCCCAAAGACATTCTGTATGGAGAGTTGGCCGCTGGAAGGAGATCCGCCAGGTGGCCACAGGTGCAATATCATGATGTCGTGAGATGCAACATGAAGAATGCTGTGGACATTAACAGAGTCCTGGGAGAGCCTGGCAGCCATACGGTCTGAGTAGAGAGGAAACCTGACCAAACATCTCAAGTCAAAGGAGGAGAAGCTGACACAAGCTCCTGCAGAAAGCAAAGTGACAGCTCCAACATACTAGAGACAGAACACAGATGCAACCTTTGCAACAGAAATTATCACTCCTACATCGAACTCTACAGTCACAGACATTGATGCTTCAGCCAGGCAGACAACTAGGATGCTTCCCATGGTCAACCCTGACCAACAGAGGCCTAGACAATATTATCATATATATATGTGTGTGTGTGTGTACATATATTTCATATATATGTCAACATCATATATATATATATATATATATAATATATATCAACATCATATATATGTATATATATCATATATATGTGTATATATATTTCATATATAATATATATCAACATCATATATATGTATATATATCATATATATGTGTATATATATTTCATATATAATATATATCAACATCATATATATATATATATATCATATATGTATATATATTTCATATATATATATATCAACATCATATATATGTATATATATATATATATGTATATATATTTCATATATAATATATATCAACATCATATATATATATATATCATATATATGTGTATATATATTTCATATATAATATATATCAACATCATATATATGTATATATATCATATATATGTGTATATATATTTCATATATAATATATATCAACATCATATATATGTATATATATCATATATGTGTATATATATTTCATATATAATATAACATCATATATATATATGTATATATATATATGTGTATATATATTTCATATAAAAATATATATCAACATCATATATATGTATATGTATATATATGTGTATATATTTCATATAGAATATATATATAACATCATATATATGTGTATATATATTTCATATATAATATATATCAACATCATATATATCATATATATGTGTATATATATTTCATATATAATATATATCAACATCATATATATATATATATATATATATATATGTATATTTCATATATAATATATATCAACATCATCTATATATCATATATATGTATATTTCATATATAATATATATCAACATCATCTATATATCATATATATGTATATATATTTCATATATAATATATATCAACATCATCTATATATCATATATATATATATATATTTCATATATAATATATATCAACATCATCTATATATCATATATATGTATATATATTTCATATATAATATATATCAACATCATATATATATATCATATATATGTATATATATTTCATATATGATATATATCAACATCATATATATGTATATATATATATATATATCAAACATAATGTATATCTATATTATATATATATATCATATGCAATATATATCAATATATCATATAAGATACATATAAATATTATATATACATATATCATATATGATATATATAATCATTATATACATATATCATACTATCAATATTATATATATCAATATTAAATATATATATATATATATATATATATATATATATATCACTATATGATATGTAGCAAGACTAACTAAATATTATTTAAGGACAAAAAACTAGTGAAAGAAGCCATTGTTTATGTGATATCTCTATATGCATCATTTCAGCAGAAATTACTCTTTTTACTGGAGTTTTCATAAAGTTTTCTCATACAGACAAAGTCACATACTGGGTTACATCAACAAACTATGAAAAAGGAAGTTATTCAGATAAAGCTATTTGATTATATCCCCATATATTGAAATAATCTATTCACAATTCATTTGCCAATATAAATATTTATTTCATCTGTAAGTTTTTATTTACTTATTTCTCTTATTTGTAATGTTAATGATAGAAACAAAAGGAGTTGTAAATAATTTCCAATAAAAGGAAGTGAGGAATGCAAGAAAGCAAAAGATGAAATGGATGTTTAATATGAAGAAAATAGAAAATGAATGATTGCAATATACAAAATGAAGAGATGAAATCTTTCAGAAGAGTGTCATTAACAGGAATTTTCACTTATTTCTGGAAATGATATTTAATAATGCTCATTGCAAAAGAATTGTTTCCATTTACACAGACATCTATATATCTATAACTGTATAAAAGCTATATGTATGATTTACCTGTATCTATATTTATACGTAAGCTAAGTTATATATATATATATATATATACTTTATTATGATGCCATGTACATCTACAGTGACTGTGGGCATGCAAAGAGCACGTGACATAAAGTGCTTCAACCACTTTGACATAATGCACATACATCAGTGTCAGTGTATCACCACAGCTTGAGGGTGGTCGCATTTAGTAGAACATCATAGGCAGACAACAGGAGGAATGAAATTGCCAATGGCTCCATTGCAATCAGGGTATTCCATGATAGTTTCATTGGATAAATATCACTCCATGTAGTTGAAATGGCAGTACCCTACAATGTAACAACAACCATGGGTACATGGCAGCAGTTCTGACAAACTGAGATAGAAGGGTACAAGAGGATAACAATATGCAGAAACAGCTTCAGTCTGCTTACCCTATGTGAAGGGATTATTGAAAAAATACAAAAGATCTGTGGTCCATATAACAATCTGACAATCTTCAAATGTGGTTCAACATTTCAGACACCTCTTCTGAATACCCCCACTAGATATACATGATGATATACATATACATACATATATATGCTTATATACATACACACACATATACATGCACACACATATATATATACATACACTTATATATACATGTTTATATAAAACACACACACACACATATACATGCACACATATATATATATATACATACACTTAAATATACATGCTTATATAAAACACACACACACATATACATGCACACATATATATATACATACACTTATATATACATGTTTATATAAAACACACACACACATATATATATATATATACATACACTTATATATACATGTTTATATAAAACACACACACACATATATATATATATATATACATACACTTATATATACGTTTATATAAAACACACACACACACATATATATATACATACACTTATATATACATGTTTATATAAAACACACACACACACACACATACATACACTTATATATACATGTTTATATAAAACACGCACACACACACACATATATATACATACACTTATATATACATGTTTATATAAAACACACACACACACACATATATATATACATACACTTATATATACATGTTTATATAAAACACACACACACACACATATATATATATACATACACTTATATATACATGTTTATATAAAACACACACACACACACACATATATATATACATACACTTATATATACATGTTTATATAAAACACACACACACACACATATATATATATATATATACACTTATATATACATGTTTATATAAAACACACACACACACACACATATATATATATATATATATACATACACTTATATATACATGTTTATATAAAACACACACACACATATATATATATATATATATATATATATACACATACATGATTACAGACATACATATTGAATCAATAGCATCTACTGTAAGGAAAGTTGGGTCACTGTGTCATACCAGAAGATGTTTCTTGTCAGAGTCCATCTTGCATATTTACAAATCTACCATTTGTTTGTGTATTGAATACTGTTGTAATATCTAGTCTGGTGCTCCTGCTATTCATCTCAAGGTTCTTGACAAAATCCAAAAAAGGATCTGTAATGTAATCAATCTTGACTTGGCATCTCAACTTCAGTCACTTTTTCACTGACATAATGTGACTTCCCTCTGTCTTTTCTGCAAATATTTTCATGGTAACTGCTCTGATGAGATATTTTCCCTGGTTCTCCAACCACATGAATTTAAGCATGCTACTAGATTGTCATCTAGGTCCCACCCTTTTACTATTGAAACAGGTAAATGTAACCACAACTTCTGCTCCAACAGTTTCTTTTCTTGCACTTCCCACCTGTGGAACTCTCTTCCATTTACTTGCTTCCCTGATAACTACAATCTTCAAAAATTTAAATGCAATGCCAAATGCCATCTTCCATCTTCCTCAATCCTCCTTATGCCCAGTCTTTTCTCTCACTTTCACAACTGCAAATATTTTACGATCAAAATATCTGACAATGTGCACAATAATGTTTCCATTAACAGTCTAAAACCAGCATATATTTCTAGAAATACAAAGTGATCTTGTCGAAAGAAATCTTGAATTGAACGATTCCCAATCTCATATCAATGGAGCTCATGATGAAAAACAAATAAATAAAACAAAAACCAGTAGAACCATTAAATGGAAAAAAACACATCATATATTTTTACTACTAAAAAAAAAAAAATGCACAGAATTACACTCTGTTATTTGAACGGGGACCTATATATAGTGAACAAAACAAGATATAGATTTAAAATTCAAATGCTAAGCAATGACTCATTGATCTTGTTAGAAATTAAAAAGACTCGAATTTAAAAACTTTGCTTAACACATGCAAAAGCAAATCCAAAACAAAACTCATGAAATTTCACACCTTGATGCAAAATGTTTTTCAGCCAATAGAAAACTAGGAAACATTTAAAGACAAAATTCAAATAATCTTCAATTCTCAGAAACAAATTCTTTTATGGACCTTTTCGCAAGCCGACGTGAAGTTTGTTCATTGTCCAATGGAAAGGCCTGAATTGATTGAATTTCCAAATGACTTTTTCAAGCCTCACAAACAAAATAAAAGACAGGCAAGTTTGCCTGTCACCAGAGAAGAGACGAGTGTATTAACACATCACTTGACAAACATCAAGTGATCGTTATTATTATCTCTGCCTTTCTCCCTCCCCTCTTTTATACTTGATAAATGAACAGAACATTTTAAGAATGAGTGATTACTTCAAAGACATTCCTACCCTACGATAACGCTAATACATACATACATACACACATATGTTCCTGCCTATATATACATAAACTCATTCTTGCAAGGACTACTATGAACATTTTGATGACCTTGTATCAACCAAAATACATTAATTTTATTTGTAGAGCCCTTAATTGATTTATATGTATATAAATTTTTTGTTTCACTTACAATTTGATTTTCTTGTTTTATACCCCTCTTATGGTGGGCTATCTGACTAACAAGACCAAATCAAATTTAAATCTGTTTCAATACTCATACACTTCACTATCACTGATAACCTACTGTAAGGCTATGGTTTCATTATTAGGTTTTTGTTTTCATGATTTGAATTAGTTCATGAATTGATTTAATACTGTATTTACAAGGTATGTATGGTGTAATGAGTTGGTTAATGATTTTGTTTAATTGATAAACTGGAGGGAAATTAGGTTTATGTATTTTTATACTCCCATACATGTATCCTGGTTTGTAGTTGACAATTATTTTGTGAAATTTTAAGCTGTCATGTTCTGCATTGTTAACTATGATCAGTTTGTTGATTTTCAATTTCACTTGGTTAATAGGATTTTTGTTGACTTTTTAAAATTTGCTGTGGTCATCAAGTATTTGTTGTAATTTTGAATTATAATCAGATTCATTTAATACAAAGTTATTGGTTTTATCTGCTTTTTTAAAAATTATATGAGTATAGTAATCCAGCTCCTTGGCAGTGATTTTTAATTGTTTTGTTAGGAACTACGACAAGATTTTTTCTTTTGTCATGTCTGTCTTTTATTGGTTTAGCTTTGAGAAATTTACAGTTATAACAGCAATGTTTTAAAATACTCAAACTGTAACTTTTTCTTAAATTTACAAATATAAATTAAGTTACCTCCTTTCGATAATGTTAATTTTTGAATGGACAGAGCATATTTCATGTGCATTTACAAAAAATGTACTTGCAACTATCAATTACATTAATTTTCTCTCTTAGCTGAAGACGATCTTGGATGAGATTGAAAGTACTTGGGAAAATAAAAGAAATGATAAAAATTATGTCACCTTCCTTAATGAGTTTAATAACAACATTAAGGAATTGATTTGTGAATTTGAGAGGATTAAAATAAAATAAACATAATATGTCAAGATTATTCAACCAAACATGCTTAAATGAAGATATGCTGCCTAAATATACATATACATATATAAATATACATACACACATAAATACACACACACACACACATATATATATATATATATATAGAGAGAGAGAGAGAGAAAGATTGAGAGGATGGCTCTCATCATGTAATAAATAATGAGTTCCATTTTATGATAAAAGAAGCCACTTCCTTCATCTATTTTGTTCAAAGAACTTTAATCATCATCTTCATCATTTGATATAAGCATCTATGCTTTTTTCCATTTTTGTGAATGTACATGTTAAGCATTTCCATAAATGTTTTTTTTTTTGTTTTGTTTTGATAGCCTCTATTTAATCTTCAGAGACATGCTGCAGCTCTTCAGGTCCTACTGCTCCTTTTGATGGCTCTCCAACCACGACTGCTGTTTGTAAACTTTAAAAAAATAAATGGAAGGGGAACATGATGTAAAAGCTCAGTAAATCATAGACAAAAATGATAAGAGATAAATGTATTTGACAGGATGTTATCATGAAAAATGTAAATTGAGGGATAATGAAATATATAAACATTTGTCATCTCTCTCTTTTTTTTAATTTGTAGATTATGTATTTTTCAGCTTCTCTTTAGGGGGGTTCTCTTTAATTTGTTTATTCGTTAATTTCTCTTCTTTTGTTTTTCTCCTTTCATTGTGGTTGATGTTTGATAAATTGATGAATGCAAACATTCACAAATCTCATTACGAAATTCATCTTAAGAGTAGACATATTGGTTAAATAGCCAGGCATTATTTATCAAATAATTTTGAGAACTCTTCGAAATTCTTTTTCCAAAACTGTTCGATCATTTGTTTTTGTTTTTTTTTATCTGTCATTTTTATTTCTTTCTTCAAAGCATTTACTTTCTTCTAGATTGGTGCAAAGTAAGACATTATTTTCTGTTAAAATGTCAAATATTTTTTTCTTTTTCTATTTCTCCTTTCCACTTTCTTTTTCTTCCACCATTTGGCTTCTGTTATCATTTTCTTTCTTTTCCTATTCCACTTTCATTGTTTTTCTCCTTTTAAGGTTTAGCTGCTGTTTCTTTTTCACTTTGTCTATGCCTTTTTTCCACTTCCATTACTTTTCTCCTTCTTCAATTTTGTTTCTTTTTTTATATTTTCTTTGCAAATTTTATTTTTTACTTTTTCAGTTAACCTTGTTTCCTTTTTCTATTCCTCCTTTCCTCTTTCATTGTTTTTCTCCTTCGCCAATCTAGTGTTTCTTTTTTCTTTCTTTCCACTTTAGCTTCTGTTTCTTTTTTCCTTCTTTGTCTATCCCTTCTTTCCACTTTCATTAATTTTCTCCTTCTTTCATTAAGTTTGTTTTCTTTTTCATATTTTTCTTTTCTAATTTTTTCTACTAATTTAAGTTGTTTCCTTTTTCTATTCTTCCTTCATACTTTCATTGTTTTTCTCCAATCTAGCTTGTGTTTTTTTTTCTTTTTGATTTTTCCCCATTTTTGATTTAGTTCATTGTTTTTCCTTCTAGAGTTTTCATTTTTTTTTCTTTCTTCCTCTCATTTATTTATCTTTTCCACTTCTTCGATTTCCTTATTCATTGCCTTAACTTTTACTTTTTTATCAGATTACTTCATTTTTTTTTTCTTTATTTCTTCACATTCTGCTTTCTCTTGGTCATATTTTCCTTCTTTAGTTGATCATCATTTTTTTCTTTTGATTATCTGTCTTTCCTTTCCTACTAATCTTTATCACATTTTGCTTTAGTTCATTAAATGGTCTTTCTTCAACTCATTTTTCAGTTTTATTTTAAAGCTCTTTTCCTTCTTTCAAGTTTGTTACTTTGACTCATTTTTTGTTTTTTCTTTATATTTTTGTTTCTTTCTTTTTTTATTATTTTAACTTTCTGTCTTAATTCAATTAGTTTTTCCTTCTTTACTTTTTTTTTTTCCTTTTTATTTTATTGATTTTTCTTTGATCATTTTTGTTTTTTACTTTCCATTATCTTTTTCAGTTTTTCTTCATTTTTCCTTTTCCTCTTCTTTCTGTTTTCTTTCTTGTTTAGTTTTCATTTTCTTCTTTAGCCCATTTGCTATTTTCCTTTAACTCATTCACTAGTTTTTCCTTCTTATTTTACTGCTTTCATTTGCTCCTCCTTTTTCCTTCTTCAGATTTTTTTCATTTCTTCAAATTTATTTGCTTTTTTCTTTTTCTTCATTATTTTCTCTTCCTGTTTTAACTCATTAAGTGAGTTTCTTTGTTTCTTTTTATTATATTTTCTTTCTTTCTGGTTTCTTATTTTTCTTTTCTACTTTTAGTGTGAACTTTATCATTATTTCCTTTTTTCACTTCTTCTCTTTTTGTTTTTCTTTCTTTCTTGTTTATATTTTTCACTTTCCGATTTAACCTATTCACTTTTTTCCTTCTCCACCTTTCTTTTTAATTTCATCTTCCTTCCTTTGCTTCTATGAATTTTCTAGATTAGCTCAAATAAAAACAAAAATGTTTTTATGCTTTTATTTTTCGCAAAACATTCTTCATTTCTTTCTCTCTTTCTTTGTCAATAATTTTTCATATTTTCCTTCTTTTACTTTTACAATACTTTTTGATATTTCCTGATAATCATTCTTCTTCTTGCTCCATTTTCTCCTCCTCCCTCAACTCAGAGCTCTTCATTGTGGCATTACTAAAGTGTCAGATGATGGTATTTATTTAAGGTTGGGAATATACTTTGGCCACAGTCAGAAATTTTGGATCAGTTATACATGGGCTGTGTGTGTGTGTGTGTGTGTGTGTGTATATATATATATATATATATATATATATATATACACACACACACACACACACTAGTGTAAAAGCCACTCTATTGGGTGTCATTTAAGCTAGCTCCTGCAGAGGGCTCTTGATTGGGCCTTCGGCTTGTTCAGGAGTTTTTGCATATTCTCAGCATTGAAAGCTCTCCTGGCTGGCGTTTGATCTGGGTTTTCATTTGCATGGAACTTTCTTTTCCTCTCTGCTGCCTTGGTTCTTTTGATTGTAATCTGACCCTCTGTTGGCAGAGATTTCATTTGCAAGGCATACTGTTGCCGTATGTGATAAGCAACGATAAGAACTCAAAATTGATCGCTGCATTTAAGTATTGCATTAATATTAACCTTACCTTTTAAAAGTTCAATGATAATTCTTCTGCCAACACTTAATTTAAAGACAGTTTGATATGTGTAAGGCCTTAATTTATGTACAAACAATTATTTTTATTTCATGGGTGACTTTTGCTGGATTTTGCAATTAATTTTGATTATTCCCAAATTTATTTCCAAGTTATAAAAAATGTTATTGAAAAAAATTTGTTGCAAAAAATCACGTAAAAAATTAATCGCAGTAAGGAAAACTTGAGAATTTAAAATTTCTATAACATGAACTATTGAAAGTTAGAGTGTTGTGTCCCTTTAATTGAAAAAAAAAGTGTGACACACTGACATTCACATTTACTATATATATATATATATATATATATATATATATATATATATATATATATATATATATATATATCCTATGAAACACACCAAAACTTAAGTAGGTTTTCATTCCATCTGAGTAAGGGGATCTAAATATATTGTATGACATTTGTCACTTTGGGTCATCAATACTTCAACCACAACATTAGTGTTCATTATTTATATGTAGACTATTGCCATCATTTGTTGTTTTCTTACAGTTAATTTCAAGCTGGACTCTTTATTTAATCCATTGCTAATATGTAGGGATTTAATCCATTGGTAATGTCTAGGGATATCTCATTTACTTATTTTAGAATTGCTCAGCTATTGCTCATCCTGTTTCCACCAAGTCCTAGTACACATTGCCCAATCCAAGGATTGAACTCAGAATTACTATGTCACAAACAAATGCCTTAATCCATTAGGCTATTGTCCCATGGGACAATTTTGTTTTTAAAAAGTTAATAACAAAAGATGAGGATAATAGTCTACATATAAATAATGATAGCTCCTCATCGTGGAAATTTACACAGAAATTAGTGTGGCACATTTTTTATGCTACAAAGAAAAGAACAATGGCTTATATATATATATATATATATATATATATATATATATATATATATATATATATATATATATACACACTGATGTCTCAAAAGTATGAAAAAGAAAAGGTAATTGATGCTAACATACCATAACATCATGGAAATGCCAAGACCAAATCAGTTATGCTCTGACATCAGGTAAGTCAGTGTTAGAGTGTTCATGTCAAGGTAATATTAACTATCAACATTTCAAAAGAGCATGATAGAGAGTGCTTGAGATAGGACAGTTAATGTTTTGCATTCACATGTATCCTGGAAATACCTGATGGAAAACATTACTGCCTACCATGGACAGTACATTATACAACTATGGGTACTTAATCATAGTGATGAGAGCCATCTGGCTAGAAGTGTCTGTGGTAAAAATAAATGACACTGGCTCATATAACCACATTCTTTGCAGGATGTATCAGACACATATCAAAAAACGTTAGTTCAGCTTTCACAAGATATGGGAGCAAAACATCCATCATAGTGACCCTATTAACACCGCAACACCCAAGATCATGACACTTGGGCTTGTGACATCATTACTTGTACTCTGGAAGACTGGTAATGTATTGACTGATATGATTAGACATGGTTCCAGTCATTTTAGTATAAAGGTAGGGTAGGGTTCAAGTATGATGTAGACTTTATGATGCCATGAACCACAGTTGTCAGCAAGATACCCTGCAGATTGATGGTGATTCCCTAATAGTGTGGATTGTGTTCACATGGCATGGGTTGGGTCAGCTTACAATAAAATCAGCCAGATATAAGCTCAATCAAGCACTTATGTGACATGGTGGTGAGGTCTATACACATGAAAAATACAGCATTTACAAATAACCAGGAAGCTGTGGACAGCTATCAAGAGGTCTGATGGCTACTTGTGGAATCACTGCCATGTCAACCTATTGCAATTCGCCAGACGTGAGAGAGAAACCTATATGATACTAGGTACATATCCTATGATCTTTGACACACCTGTGTACCTATCCTATGATTTTTGGCACATTTGTATGCACATGTGTGTGTGTGTGTGTGTGTGTGTGTTGTATGTATGCATGTGGCTATGCAGGTGTAATCTTTTAAAGTAGTTAATGGATTTTTAAATCCAACTTTGTCATTACTATAAACATTATTTTTAGTTGATACACATGTTCAAGTTGATACCTGTTATTTTTAAAGTGTCTGAGAATTGAGAAGTCCTACTAAAAAAATTGTACTTTGCAACAGGAATTGAACCTTCATTTTATTTTTTCATTGGTTAAAGCATTTCTTGTCTGAAAGTGATGAGTAGGTAACTGAATCTTACTTTATCTTGATAGTTTCCCATGACATTGCTCAGGCACACATTGGCTCTATCACAAACTCAATGTGTGTGTATATATATATATATATATATATATATATATATATATATATATATATAAGTAATTAAAATCTTGGTAATCTGTATGGATAATCCTAAGGAGGATGAAATCCAGAGAGCTCAATGTTAAGTAAAATAATATATATATATATATATATATATATAAATAGACACACTGAATGGCAACAATCTGTTCCATACTTGAGCACAATCTTCAGGCCATAAATAAGGGGTGGCCAAACTTGCTTAATGTAAGACACACAGATGATAAAATTTTGATGTTTGAAAGCCACAAGACATGCACAAAATTTACACATACATTTTTGTTATATACACATAACACTAAACTTATGTTTTAATCCAATGTGGTTGCAATTCATACCCAATAAATAATTATAAAGCTTGAAATTTTTCTTATTTGCCTTTTATATTCACTGTGATGAAAAAAGGAGCTCAGAAAACATATTTTCAAGAGACGCAAATTAAAGGTTTGACCTTTAATTTGCGTCTCTTGAAAATATCTTAAAAATATAGGCTGCATGTGGCTTGTGTGCTACAGTTTGGCCACCTCTGCCATAAATATTGCATACAAGTATGAAACAAAGTGTCACTACTTGGTGTTGACCTCAGTGTTCACTTTTTATATTTATATGCACTATACATTATATCGATAATACTGAGCACATTTACCTATAAATATGGCATACATTAAAACTATATTTTTATCATATATGTATATATATATGTGTGTGTGTGTGTGTGCCATTTGCTTGGGTGACCATAAAATTCATAAATATATAATACAACTCTAAAATGTTTATTAAGAATTAGATTCGAAACATGCTCATGTAGTTTCTGTTATTTAATTTGCTATTTACTCATATTCTTTGAGACGTCTGTTGCCAAAATTTAAGTGTTGTTTTATGAGATTACTTTTTTCATGACCAAAAATTATATTAAAAACTCTAAAGGGAAGAGAAAAGTTTTTAAAGTGCTCATTTGCAATATAATGTCAGGTAAAAAAAAAAACAAATAAAAAATATGATGAAGATGATTAATTAGAAATGAAATCAATTTTGAAAGCAAATAAAATTGCAGCACTGAAAGTAAAATCAATCAGTTCAAGTAAAAAGAAGTTGATAAATGCAAGTGATGCTGATTTTGTTTCTTTTCTTTTTGCAAGACTCGATGGCAACATCATTTATCAAGTTGTGCTGAAGTTCTCACTTGTTTGGTTTTTGATATCATTTGATGCGGAATAATTTATTCATTATTAATGAACAAAATTTGAGTGAAGACAATAAAAAAAACAAAATAAGAAAAAAAAAGAACTGGAATGTTTTTACCAGATCTCATACAATTTTGTAATATTAAAGTGTATTATTTGTGTCAATGAAAGCAACAGTATAAATTAAGAAAATTTGTTTGTTTTTATTTTTTCTTCAGACCAAAACTAAACTGAATACTGGCATTCAAAAGTAGAAGGGTTTTTGAAAAAGGGTTTGTCATTCTCTTTTGTAACAAACACTTCTTTCCATAGTTTCCATAGACTTTACTATATATATATATATATATATATATATATATATAATAATAATAACTGGCCACTCGTATTCAAGGATACCTGTCTATTAGGGCGGCTAGCCAATCCCTATTGTAGATGCTCGCTCAGGTGCATTTGTGTTTGATCAACACCCACAGAGCCCACCTGTGGTTTATACTGCAACTATGCTGAGCAGAACTTAGTTAAAGTCTTATCTAGTGGGATCAACAATTTGAACAAAGCCAGCATATTCAAGCCCTTGGCCACAATGAATTGTGGCTTTGTGCTAGCACAGCTATTGATG